GGACTATACTAATCCAACTCCAGAACGGTAAGTTGGACCGCAGGTAAGTTGAGGTAGACAACCTCCTAACCACCATTTCCATTTTTCGGGAAACTCAAGAAACCTGAATTTTGATAACCGGGCTTTTCCGTAATAAGTTAAATTATAATACAAATTAGGGAAATCTACAGATATAAATCAACAACACTTCTAAATGCATTAAGCATTTATTAAAGGATATTCCACTGCGTATCCTAATTTCCCACCCATAAAACTCGATAAACACCGTTTTCGTGCGAAAGCATGCAGGTTGTAGGGATTAATGAGTGGGGCCACATAAGCTACTGTTGCCGATATTTTATTGAACGCAGGCACGTTAGTATCCAACTATTGTTTTAGACGTTCATTTTTGCGATAAGGTGTTTTAATGGTTGGCCGTCTTTATGAGAGGGAATATCCAAAACTTACTTCTTCGGTAAATGGTTGTAGAAAAGGTTTCATTTTGTAGGCCTCGATAGACGCATGAAGTACAATCAACTTTTACCAAAAATTGAGTATAAAATAAAAGTAGCAAATTCCTCCGTTGAATTTAAAAGAAAATATGCGACCTAGCTTTATCCAATCGCAAAAATACTGTAACACGCATTTGACAAAAGGTAACGTATCTAAATATACAAAAAACGCTTTCATGTGTCGAAATGACGATACTATTTACATGTACTAGTCACGTTTCCGGGAGTTTCCTCGTTTTTAATTTTCCTTATTGCTGACTTTCAATATTCCTTTAAGTTTTAATTTCGCTAAGGTTTTTCGATTATTATTTAAGAAATTTGTTTGCGCGTTTTTGCCGGATTGTGATTTCCTTAATTACGAAATGTTTTCACCTAAAACGCTGTAAACTGAATACCTATTTATTTTGACATTAAGAAACAAGAATTTCATGCCTCACGAACCGAGCAAGGAAAATATGTTCTCCAAGGACACAGAAGGACGAATTCGCACTCATTAAGGACACCTTACAGGAAAATGGCTTCCCCGAGAATTCATCAATAAGTTTATGGAGGAACGTTCACCAAAATCGGGGGTGCCGACGGCTGAAAAGAAAACCTTATTTCTTACATTGCCTTTTCAAGGGGATCCAGCAAGCGAACGTCTATAGCTTCGATTGAACGCTGCAATTGCGCGTACAAATCCAGCAGCGAAGGTAAGGTTATTATTGTGAAGCACTCCACTTCTTCGCCTTGAAGGCAAGGATACACTGCCGTTCCAGACCACCTCAATGTGCATTCACAACTATGCATGCTCCTGTGGGGCAGGTTACATTGGTCGAACGTCTAGGCAGCTATCCAAGCACATGCGAGAGCACCACCCCTCTTGTCTAAACAGAGACGAAGTAAAATCGATATTAAGCGCAATTCCGGCTCACTTGGTAGACAGCGGTCATCGGGCATACGTCAACCAAGCGTTTAGGGTCGTCTATAAAAGGCTAGTTAAGTATTCAAAGTTCCTGTATCAGCGTATACTTACGACGGAAGAGGCAGTCGTCATACGCTTCATTTGTCCAATTTTCTGTGCGCAGAAATCGTTTGTAGCGGCCTAAAGGCTTCCGTGGCCGAAGGCCATTTCAACATCCGTCCCGACGCCTCTTACCACGCCGCGAAACAATGACGAGACTGTGGCATCAAGCATCCTTAGGCCACCAACGCTGTCACAAGACGTTGACGCCATGCATCCTCACATCT